TTTTAGGTTTTGGGGTACATGTGCAGAGCATGCAATACAGTTGCATAGGTACACACACAAAAAAAAGAAATGAACTAAGCTTAAAGTTGGCAGAAATAAGAAAATAATAAAATGTCATATATCATAAGTCCACAGCTAACATCATGAATTCAACAGTGAAAAGCTAAAACTTCTAATCTAAGAAGAAGAAGACAAGGATGCCCACTCTAGACACTTCTACTCAACATAATACTAAATATCCTAACCAGAGCAATTAGTCAAGACAAAGAAAAGGCCTCCAAATCAAAAAGGAAGAAGTAAAATTATCTTTTCAAAAAGCATGATCTAATAATATACAGAAAACACTATAGACTCCACCAAAAATTCCATTAGAATTAATAAACAAATTTAATAACATCATATGATACAAAATCAACCTACAAATATCAATTGTGCATCCATAAAATAACAGTGAAGTCAGAAAAGGAAATTTAAGACAATTTCATTTACAATAAGATCAAAAAGAATAAAATACTTAGGAATAATTGTAACAAAGGAAGTAAAAGATTTATATACTGAAAACTATAACATTTTGATTTAAGAAATTAAAGACAATAAATGGGATGTTATCCATGTGCATGGACTAAAAGAATTAATATTTAAAAAATGCCCATGTTACCCAAAGCAATCTACAGACTAAGTACTATTCCTATAATTCCATTAGCATTTTTCACAGAAATACAAGACCAGAACACTAAAATCTGTAAAGAAAAAGAAAGGGGAAGAAGAAAGAAAAGAAAAGAAAAAGAAAGAAGGAAAGAAAGAAAGAAAGAAAAAAGAACCAAAAGAACCACAAATAGCTAAAGAAATTAAGCAAGAAGGACAGTAGTTCTGGAGGCTTCACATTTCCTATTTTCAAAATATACTACTATTCTATTGTAATTTAGAAAGTATGTACAGGTATGAAAACAGACATATAGATCCATAGAAAAGAATAGCCCAGAAATAAACCCACACATATATAGTCAATTAATCTTTGACAAATACACCAAAATTAAAATGGGGAAAAGGACAACCTCTTCAATATATGGCTTTGGGAAAACTGAATATCTACATAAAAAAATTAAAACTGGGTCCTTATCTTATACCAATACAAAAAATAAGTGAATATGTATTAAAAACTTAAACATAAGATCAGAAACCATAAAACTTGTAGGAAAAAAAACAAAAACTATAACAAAGAGCCTTGAAATGTTTTTGTTTTTTTTTTAAATACGACACCAAAAAACAGAAAACAGAAGCAAACATAAAGTGAGACTATTTCAAACTAAAGAAGTTTCTGTACAAGAAAGAAAAGTATCAACAAAAAAGGCAAACTACAAAGAGGGATAAAATATTTGCAACCATATATTTAATATATGCAACCATATATTCAATAAGAATTCCATATATAGACTATATGGAATTCATAAAACTAGCAAAATAATAATTAAAAATGGACAAAAAACTCTAACAGACTTTTCTCAAAAGAAGACATGTAAATGGCCAGCAGGTATACGAAAAGATGCTCAACATTAATTATCAGGGAAATGCCAATAAAAACCACAATCAGATACCATCTTATTATACTTGTTAGAATGGCTATGGTAAAAAGGACAGAGGATAACCAGCACTGGCAAGGATTTGGAGAAAAGTGAATCCTTATACACAATTGGTGGGAATGTAAATGTACATATATTATGGAAAACGGTGTGGAGGTTCCTCTACAAATTAAAAATACCACGACCATATGATCCAATAATCCTACTTCTGTTGTATATCCCCCCCAAAAATAAAATCAATATCTGGAAGAGATATCTGCACTGCCATATTCATTACAACATTATTTACAAAAGCCAAGATACAGAAACAACCTAAGCATCTCTAAGTGGATAAAAAGGAAAAGAAAATCTCTCCCTATCTCTCTCTCTCCCCCTCCCTCCCTCCCTCCCTCCCTCCTTCTCTCCCTCCCTCCCTCCCTCCCCCTCCCTCTGTGAATGTGTCTCTGCGTAATGGAATATTATATATTATTCTACCTGAAAAATAAGGAAATCCTGCCATTTTTCAACAACATAGTTGAATCTGGGGGACATTGTGCCTAGCATAAAGTAAAATAAGCCATGCATGGAAAAATACTACTTATTAATGAAATATAAAAAAAGTTGAACTCATAGGAACTTTTGAAAATAGAAAGGTGCAAGCCTGCAGAAATGGGGAGATACTGGTCAAAAGGCAGAAAATTCCAGTTATACAGAACAAACGAGTTCTGGAGACCTAATATACAGCATATACGGCTGCCATAGTTTGGATGTTTTGACCCCTACAGAATTCATGTTAAAACTCAATCCCCTATGAAACAGTATTGAGAGGTGTGGTCTTTGGGAAATGCACAAGTTTTTTGAGGTTAAGGGACCTAGTAAAAAGACCTAATGAAGGACATTCACCACTTTTTGCCCTTCTGACTTCTGCCTTGTGAGGACACAGTATTCCCCCTCTGGAGGGAACAGGGTTCAAGGAGTCATACTGAAAGCAGAGTTGGCACCCTCAGCAGACACCTGAACCTGGCAGCGCCTTGATCTTGGACTTCCCAGACTCCAAAACTCAAATTTGTGTTCTCTGTTCTTTATAAATCATCCAGTCTGTTACAGCAGCACAGTGGAATAAGACAGGGATTGTAGGTAACAATGCTGTATTACTTATTTGAAATTTGCTAAGAGGGTAGATATTAAGTGTTCTCATACTACACAGGAAAAATATGGTAATTATATGAGGTTACTATGTTAATTAGTAGTCATCTCTTCACAATGTTTATGGATATCAAAACACATGCTGAATTCATTAAATATACAATGTTTATTAATTAATTATATCTCCATAAAACTGGGAGGTGGGGAATTGGTCTATATTTTCACGTCAGGTTGCTTTTCCTTCATGATCTGGCTAGGTAAGCCAACCTTGATGTTTTTAAAATGAATTTTAAACCTCCATGAAATATTAGAATGATATCTCCTAGGAAGACATATGATAGCAAAAAAAGGCTTCATTTATTTAGCAAAATCAAATAAATTGATATTTCTTAGAACTTGAAGCTTTCTCCTTCGGTAGACACCAAAGCATTTCTTATATGAACCACTTTTAGAGAAATCTTGCCAAACTGCAAGATGTATTTCTGTGCTTTTATTAGCCAGGGAGTACTAAACACATATTTCTTAAGAGCTTAGGGTCATAAACTTCCCCAAGGAAAGAAACAGATGGGAAGCAGCAGGGGTGGGGGCAGAGGCACTGAACAAGAAAATAAATACCTGGTCTTTTCTGCAAATCAAGCAATATATGTGCACTAATTATAAAAATAAGTAAATAAAAGGTGTGATCACACAACGCTCAGTACCAGAGTTGGATGTGTAAGTTTACATTTTCCTGATTCCCTCCTTGATGTCAGCTCTGAGAGTCACTTCTGTTCTCTCTGTTGAGAACTTCAAAGGCCCAGCAACAAATCTCTTTCACCTAATTCTCTGAACAGTAACCATCCATCTTAGTCACAAATAGGTACTGTGGTTTACCATGTACTGGACACTGGGCTATATGTTTAATGTAGTTTATTTCATTTACTGCTTTCAATGACTCCATGAGACAGACACTATTATCAGGACAATTTTCAGATGACAAGGAAGCAGGCATAGAACATACAAGGCCAAGAGTCGGGAGGCTCCAGAACAAAACTCAATGCTTGTCAGTCAGACTCCAGAGTCCCTACCTTGACCACTATGCCACAGGTTTTGGCATTCATGGGAATCTGAGAGCAAGGATGTATCAAAGAAAAGAATGTCAGGGTCTGCAGTGAGCCAGGTCATGGCTGTAGAGCAGAGGACCCTTTATCCAACTGAGGAGATGCATTGTAAGAGGCTGGGCATAGGGAAATTCTGCAGAAAGTAATAAATGCGCACATCTTGTTAACTACTCAACATAATCCTGCCTCATGTTGAAAATAAAAGATAATTTGTAAACTTCAGAATTGTGCAAATGGTAGTTTTATTATCAGATTCCAGAATACTAAACTACATAGTCCAGGATTTGGACATTGCAAAAGCAAATTTATGACACATAAAAAGAATATTTAGTTGAGTTTCCAGGAGACAACCAGCAAACGATGACCATTTTCTGACACAGACCTTCTCAATCCCCATTTACTACCCCACTAAAAGGGTATATTCATTTGACGAAGAAAGATAAAAAAAGGAATCTGTTTTGTTTTCCAAGCTTTTTGACTCACCCCTGACTGGTGTGAAGCCCAAGGGTGCACTCTAGTGATAAGGATCCAATTTATGGCATGTAACAATAGCCTTTATTTATTGTTTCAATGGCAATACTTGTATTAACAATTATCGCTGTTTTTTGAAATGCAAGACAATTAACTCCATTTCTTGACAATTGTTATCCCTAATTAATGCTTTGATTCATTTGAATCAAATTAATCGCAGTTCCTAGAGTGATTATGGACCACCTATCTCAAGACCATTGCATATACTCTACACTCTCAATATCGTATCTTTCACTTTCAACACCCATCTTCAAGATTCACCATGATCCGTTTCACTGCTGCTGTGATAAACATACATCTGCACACAGAGAAGGACTTAAAAGCAATATTCTAGAGAAAAACATAATTGGGTTTTAGATTACAGATGAATTCTAATAATCTTTTAAAACACTGTTTTAACGTCAAGATTGTCTAGAATTTTCAACTTGATAAATACAAGCAAATCTAGCAAAAGATAAATGTTCTATTTCGATAAAATTCAAATGATGTTTGGGAAATGCTGACTTCTGGCAAAACAGTTTATTAGTTTGATGAACCAGCTTTGCAAGTTCTGAAGTTACTTCCCAGAAAAACCCTTAAAGTCAGTTAAAATCAGTTTATAAATCCATACGCAATGTGTCTTATTACAAGACATTGCTATATTGCTGATATTTCCACTACTCACCAATAAAAGAATGTCAGGTTTCCCCACCAAGGCCAGGGCTGTAGAGAGTTTCCGCTTGGTTCCCCCACTATAGGTGGCCACAGGTTTGTCCACATGGGCTTCAAGGTGTAAGCGCCTAATGAGGTCTCCAGCAACCTGAAAGAGAGGAATGTCCATGTGCACACTGCCATTCACCAAAGTGTCCACCAGACACCTCATCTCAGTCCTGACTCCTGCTTCTCCCTCCCACTAACCCTGCCCAACTTCACACATACAATCAGGTATATCTCCTGAAACATTCCCGTTCACCATGTAGGCAGTAATTGAGAGTGAACAGGTGGGAGACATCTAAGTAATGGTGAGAATAATCACATCTGGAGTTCAGGGAGCAGGGTGAGGGTCCAGATAAATATCCACATTGAGGTGAGAAGAGAAAGGTATGCCAAAAAGAAAATTGAGAAGGAAATAAATGGGAATGAAACGAATAGGCAGAGGTGTCAAAACTTCAAAGGAGGAGACAACTGAGATAGAAAATTATTTTTTATTATTTTAATTTTTTTTACTTTAGATTCAGGGGGGTCTATGTGCATGTTTGTTACATGGGCATATTGTGAGATGCTGATGTTTGGGTTTCTAATGATCCGTCACCCAAATAGTGAGCATAGTACCCAACAGGCAGTTTTTCACCCCATGTCGCACGCCTTGCCTTCACACTTTTGGATTCCCGTGTGTCTACTGTTGCCATCTTTGTGTCCACATGTAACCAATGTTAAGCTCCCCTCTATAAATGAGAACACATGGTACCTGGTACTGTGTTCCTATGTTAATTTGCTTAGGAAGCTGCCTCCACGTGTATCCATGCTGCTGCAAAGAATGGGATTTTGTTTTTATGGCTGGAGGGAATTTTCAACATTAACACAAGGAAGGGAATGTCTCTTTGACACTGAAAAGCCACTCTATGTTTGCAAGCTCAGTTTTGTTTACAAAGTAACTAGAGGTGGGGAAGAGAATGGGGGCATGTTTCTTATTTGCAATGGCTGAAAAACATTTTACTAAGTCCCAAAGACGGTGGCAGCATTTATTAAACCTCCCTCTCCCAGCCACAGGAGAGTGAATTCAGACTGTATCCAAGAGCCTGGTGTTCACAGCTCCTTTATTCTTCCCTGCCTTCCATCCAGCCATCTTATCCCACATCCTTGAAGGCCCAGCCCATATTTCCCCTCATAAAAAATAATTGTCACTTCTTCTGTGCGGTGTATGTGTCACCTCTTCTGTGTATTGTATGTGCCTGTAGAACACTTTTATTTAGCGTTTCCCATTGTAATTTGTACCACAATATATCTTGTTTCCAGTTCTGTCTCCTATGCTGGATTAGTTCTGATGTCTCAGGTAAGCAACTTTTTTGTTTCCAACTCAGCATAATTTAAAAATTTTGCAATTTTATTTAACTCTTGTGACCATAGAGGTATTAATATAAATTCATTTTTAGATATCATCATATAGCCAAATTGACCAAGATCACACATCTTAATTCAAATTTAGGAGAAGAGGGAAAAATTCTGTAGGACTATGAAGGTGGGTTAATAATTGTGAGTCCCAAATAACGGAATAAAACATAAATTTAAACTAACGCGTATTCTCTTTTTGACAAGTGCATAAAAGTTAGGATAACAATAATGATCATGAATGTTAAGAACCTCTACAAATATTAGGACAATCATGCCTCCCAATAAAATCTTTCAACAGAAATTGTTACATGGCTTTATTTGTGCCACTTCAAAATATATCACAAATGAATGAAGCGGCTCAAGGACTGGTCTTATGGTAAAATAGCATAATTCTAGGAAATGTAGATTTCAAGACCCAAAAGATAGATAAAGATGAAATATTTAATCTCCTACTATCTACCAAAAATCATCTCAATATCAGTAGTTTGTCCTATTGAAAGTAAAATCATTTTCCCCAGAATGTTTTATATGAATCACCTCTTTTCCTGGCTCCATTCAGACCAATTATTTCAATTATCACAAGCTGAATAAAAATTCATTTAAGTGAATTAAAAAATATCAAAGTGAAACATTTTATTCATCACAAGCAAACAAACACAAATATTAAGGCAAGTGCCATAAAACTGAAGAAATACAGATGCCTGGCATTTCCGAAATTAAAGAGATAAAAGAAGTAGTAATGTATCTTCAACCAAATTTTTCTCAAAGAAGAATGGCCAAGAAATGTAAATCAGTGCTAGATAAACACTCATATGAGAGATGAAGGAAGGGAACCAGGGAGCTTCCTGGCAAAGAAAGCACATGTCCATATAAAAGAGAAGAAAAGGAAGAGCAAGGTAGACCCTGTTAGAAAGCTTCATTTGTCAGGAAAAAGCCAATGCAGTCCTTACTTCATGGCATCTATATGTTCTTGGAAACCACTTTAACCAAATCAACATTTAATGAAACTAATTTTACCATAAGCTGATTGGTAGACACAAGAGTTAAGTTCCTATGGCATATTTCTGGTCACAAAAACATCTCCAAGCTTCTAAACAAAAATAACCCTTCTAATAGCAAACGCTGAAATAAATGTAAGCTAAAAATGTGATTTACCCAATTATTCTAGTTCAGGGTTGAGGGAGGTTGCAGCCTATCCTGGAAGCTCAGGGCACAAGGCAGGAACCAGCCAGGAGAGCATGCCATTCCATCGCAGGGTACACTCACTCACCCACATACACTCACCCACATGGGCTCAATGTAGACTCACCAAAGAAACTAATATACACGGCTTTGGGACATGAGAGAAAACAAGTGTACCCAGAGAAAATGTGTGCAGACCTGGGAAAGCGTGCAAACTCCTATCCGACAGTGGTCCTAGCAGAAATCAATTTTATTTTTCCCATGATTGTAATAAAACAATATTGAACTAAACAACCCTATTTAGGGACCTGCTGTACTGACAGTGGTGAGGCTGGCAAAAATGACAAATTGTGAAAGTGACTTTTTGGTTATGTTTAGATCTTTTAATTATTACAAGAAAAAGAGAACGAAAATGTGTGTGTGTGTGCATGTATTAGAAACACATTTTCAGTTACTCTCATCCATGTTATTCAAAGATTAGCAATACACAAATGAAAGCTGATAAACTGACAAATGAAAAAAAAACAAACAATAATATAAGCAGCTGGTTCTGGAGAAATGCACCTGAGAATGCAAGATACATTTTGAATGAACTTGCCACATTATTATTGCACATTTTTATGAAGTTAGGAAACATTTGCCATGTTTTCCCAATTTCACAAAAGGTTAAACGCTACAGCCTGCAAATTCTGGATTAGTTAACGATAGGAAGGATTCCAGCATATTCAGGAACAAATGTATAGTTCGATGCAATGTTTTCTAAATGTCATGGTGTCAGAAAATAACTGAAGACAGCCTAATAAGAAGCATTTTGCTACCGTCTTTTCTGCACTCAGCACTGCTGTCAAAGTAATGGCAAAAGCAATGCCTTGGCAACCTTGGCTGACAAAATATGCCTAAAATCACAAAATGTCAAAAGTTCACAATATCTCTCCCTGCAGTTTGGTATTTTTCTCTCATGGAGCTCTACAAGCTGTACCACATGTAAGGCAAGAGATTGGGATGCATTCGTTTTGGGATGCATTCAAATGGAAACTGCATGGGGATGCATATTCTCAGGGCTTGTTCATGTTTGGCACACAGTAGGGCTTCTATCAATATCACTGGAGCCAAAATAAATTGCCCAGAGATTCACACATGCATCTGTTGGACTCCAAGGCCAAAGTGTTTTCGCTAGAACACATAATGGCCAGGTCAACATTTTCTGTAAGATTAAAGATCAAACTGAGTAGTAAAGTAGGAAAAGGGAACCAAGGATTTCAGATGGAATTGTTTTCTCCTGGCCCTTCCTCAGGATGACCTCCTTTCCCCATTCCTGCTATCTTATAGCTTCTACCTCCTTCTAGCTAAACTGTGTGAATAGAAGAAAACTTAAAGATAAAAGTCATATCTTTAGACAAGATAAGGGGGAGCAAGACACAATAGGGATATTCCCTGGTAGGGATGCACAGGTATTAATAAAACTAAGATGATGAGGGGTCATACCTCTTCTATACCAGGGAGAACTAAAATGCAGAATTTGCCAAACTTCTTCCCAATTAGAAGTATTGTTTGTTTTTTTTTGCTATGACACTAACATTGAAACGACCTAGTATGATCAGCTTTTACACATTTTGTCTAGCATCCCAGACTATGTAGCCCTTATCTCTTGCATGATTTGGTAATAACTAAACGATAGAACTTCATGTAAAATTTTTTATCAGGTTAATTAAATTCAGGCTCAAATATGTACACGGCATAAAACTGTGCAGTGTAAATCATGGGGAAATTGAAAATCATTATGTTAACTTGATGAATCTAATTTCAAGCTTTATCAAGTGGCATCTTATTCTTACTTCATCAAACTTTTGAAAGGTTGGAGAAGTGAGTAATTTGACCATACATAGAAATGACCAGCAAGTGGAACAAAGGTGGGCTGGCTCAGCCAAAGCATGGGCTCTGAGGGTCCCAGGGAGGGAGGAGAAGGGACTATGAGGCTGAACGAAGGAGCCTCCTAGCAAGCACAAAGGGTCTTCCACTAGAATCATAGAGCATACAATGGTGGCTATCCATGTTACAATGAAAATAGATGGCAGCCGGAAGGAAACAACCAAGGTGAACAGCAGATATGTCTAAAGATTACCCCCATATCCATGAGTTCTGAAAGCCTGGAGGTGAAGCGCACATGCTGAGCCCAACTCCAGCCCAATGGAAAGCCAATCAGCAGGAGGAGCTCCATGTTAGAGAAGTCATCACTAACCCCACACAGTTCCCACGTCTTTGGCCACTCCAGGGGTATTAGAAATAAGACTGAACTGTTGATACTGCCAGGAATTCCATTTTGTACAACAAACAACCTGAATAAACTAAGTGTCAGAGTAACGTCTTAATCAAGAACTTGTACCCTGGAGCGGGTTTATATTGTTTCAAAGCAAAACCTTGCCAAATACTAGCCATGTGAATGTGGGTAAGTTGCGTAATTTCTCTGGTGTCTCAGTTTTCCTGTGTCTCTGTGTCTCAATTAAACTGAGTCTAATTCTCAGTTTCTTAAGTAGTAATAAGCATCTACGTCATACAGTTGCTGTAAAATACTTAGAACAGTACCTGACATGTAATAAATACTAAAAGATAAAACTATTGTTTTCCATTATTTTATAATAATTCTTTCTGGTCATCTTGTGATAAATACCTCAGAATGGATATACCTGTTCTATAACTTAAATATTCCCCAAATACACAGGAGACAGAATTTTTCCAGAAAAGGAGCTAACTCCTTTGGGAACAGATGCAAAAATGAGTTGATATCTTAGAAACAAGAGCAAGTTGCAATACTGCCTGTAAAATCAGTTTCAGTTTTTATAAAGAAAATGAAGCTAGTTCCTAATTGGTTACCATTTAAATAACTTTTCTTGGTAGAACAGCTCAGAAAAACAAAATTGTAAGACAGCTGAGTATCAACACACAATTGCCCTGAAGGACAGAAAGCACCAATCCTTACTATATTAATGATAACTTTTTCATAAGCATGTTTCCCTAGAAAAACAAAGGCACCAGCTTAACATCTTTGCCAAGAACCCGCCTCTTTCTTTTTTTTTTTTTTTTTTTTTTTATTGGATTATAGGTTTTGGGGTACATGAGCAGAGCATGCAAGACAGTTGCGTAGGTACACACATGGCAGTGTGCTTTGCTTTTCTTCTCCCCTTCACCCACATTTGGCATTTCTCCCCAGGCTATCCCTCCCCAGCTCCCCGCCCCCACTGGCCCTCCCCTTTTCCCCCCAATAGACCCCAGTGTTTAGTACTCCCCTTTCTGTGTCCATGTGTTCTCATTTTTCATCACCCACCTATGAGTGAGAATATGAACCCGCCTCTTTCATCAAAAACTAACAAGGAGGAGCGGACAGAGATGAACACTGATTAGAAATTGGCCAACAATTAGTCCTGGAGTCCAATAACTGTTTAACTACAACAGCAGGTCTCTGCGAAGTGGTCATTTATCTTTGCTTTATTAAGATGGGTGACGGAAAAAGAGACCAGAGCCCTTACAAAGAGGTGCAGGCATTCTATTTAGCTTCACTTAAAGTTAGAAGCATAAGAAACAATGGCTGAAGGATTATATAAACACAACAGAAAATGTATGTTCATGGACCAGCGAAGGTGAAGGCTATTAGTTTTATCTCCCTTAAGTCCTAGAATGTTCCCTCTCCCACAGAATCAAATTGCAAATGCATCATAGAAGCCACTTATTTCTGCTTCTAGTTCAGAATCCAGAAATCCAAGGAGCACACACCCCAGACTTTCTATAATGAGGTGCAGAAAAGGTAAAAATGTGTTTAAATAACTGCAATTTTGGTGGCTCATGGTACAATGCCCTAGGCTGTCAATCAAAGCTGTCTGCTCTGCTTCACTGCCCTCTACTCACACAGGAGAAGTGGCATCTGTCTCTTGTTCTCTCACTGCTCCACCTGCCTCACTCCTGTCACAGGCAGTGATGCGGGGTATGGGGGATATGGGGTCTGCAGTTTCCGCCACTCCTTCATTTCTCTAAGGCCACCTAGAAAGGAATCCCCTGGAGGGGAAATCTGTCCATCAACTCTGTCCATCAGGAAGTCATGGACAGGAAATTTGTCCATCAGGAAGTCATCCCTTCCAACAATCCCCCAGATTCCACACATATTTTATGCCCACTCCTTCATAAGCCCTGAAAATACAGAGTTTATGATATTTCTTCCTGAATACAAATAGTTCAATAAATGTAAAAGGCCTTTAGAGAGAAAAAAACAGCATGGGGAACACAAAGTTATAAATGATGTATTTGTGCTTTAACTTCGACCACATGACTGCCTCACACAGACACATTTCAAATATATAATGTAAATAAGGCAAATATATTTAATGTTTTCTTCAGTATAATCACATTGAAAAATCTCTTGCAGGTAAGTTTATCTGATACTACAGTTCCTTCTCCTCATAGGGTGAGAGAGCTCCCTTGGAGCCAGAGGTGCCATCAAGCATTCCTCAATGGGTCCCTTTATCTAGAAACCCTAGGGACATTTACCTCAGGGATGCACTGCGTTGGAATCCCGCGTAAGCTACAGTAATAATAAAGATGTTCCCAACCAGTCAGAAGCTCGTTCAGGGCATCCTGCTGTGGACAGTAGCCAATGAGCACGCCTGCAGCACCAGCAGAAGACAGGTCCACGGTGTCTCTGCAGAGAGAAGCAGCACAGGCTGAGAAAAGCAGTTTCCCAAACTGGCATCACCCCATTTTTAAAATGCTGCTCATCAGTAACAAGCCCATAGCAGTTTATTTAAAACAATTAGTTCATCTCACAAGAATAGGCTCAATTCATGAGAAATAAAGGATACAGAGGTGACCCCAAAATATGCCTCTTTGGCATATGGATTATTTTGACCTAAAGGCAAATGAGAACCAGAAGACACAGGAAAAGCTCTTTACCTCTCCTTAACTGCCTAAAAACAGAGTATAAATGTCTTCTTTTGAAAAGGAAATTCACATTTACAAATTAAATTTTCATTTGTAAAGATGTCTCCCTACCAGAAAAAGAGCTACTTTGCCAGATAACTCTGAACCGGAGAGACTCTTATCTGCAACCCTTCAATTAGGGTTGAATTAGAGACAACCCTAGTTCACCATACACTTCCTCCCAACACCTCCCCATAGCTGGCGTCCCCTGCCCAGAATCCCCAAATCCTTTTTCCTTTGTTTAGCCTTATAGGGTGCATAGCCTCAATCACCTGGCCAACTACTTGAGTCTTATTTTTTGTGTGGAACTCCTGTAAATTAATGCATATTAATGAGAAAATAAAAGTTTGAACATAATCAAACTGTTTTATTTTCTTATTAATATGTATTGCTGAATCAGATGGAAAGACTATATTTAGTTTTATAAGATTCTGCCAAACTGTCTGCCAAAGTGGTTGTACCATTTTGAATTCCCATCAGCAGAAAATGAGTTTCTATTGCTCCATATTATTGTCAACATTTGGTATTGTCACTGTTTTGTATTTTATTCATTTTATTAGGTATATAGATGTATTACATTGCTGCTTTAATTTGCAATTATCCAATGACATATGATGTTGAGCATCTTATCATGAACTTATTTGCATCTGTCTTCTTTGGCGAGACATCTGTTCATATCTTTTGCCCATTTTTTGACTGTGTTTTCTTATTGTTTAATTTTAAGGATTCCTTGTGTATTTTGTATACAAGTCTTTTATGAGACATGGGTCTGCAAAAAAAATTTTTCCCAGCTATGGATTGACTTTTTAATCTCTCAACAGTGTCTTTTGCAAAGCAGAAATACACTTTAATGAAGTTAAACATACCAATGTTTTCTTTTATGAATCATGCTTTTGATATTGTATCTAAAAAGCCATTGTCAAATCCAAGGTCACCTAGATTTTCTCCTATGTTATTTTCTAGAACTTTTATAATTTGCATTTTACAGTCAGGTCATAGGTCTGCTTGGAGTTCATTTTTGTCACAGGTATAAGTTAAGTTCCCAGATTGATTGTGTGGCATGTGATGTCCATTTGTTTGGCACCATTTGTTGCAAAGATGATTATTTCCCCACATGATTGCCTTTGTTCTTTTGTCATCTATCAGTTGACTGTATTGGTGCAGGCTTGCTCTGGGAATTAGCGTGCCTTTTAGTAAATTTTGAAGTCAGGTAACGTCATTCTTTAGATTTTTTTCTTCTTCCGTACTGTGTTGCCTATCACGGATCTTAATTTCCTTCATTTTAGTTCCTATTGCATCCATATTCTCCTGTCTTTCAAATTCAGCTAGTACATGTGTTATGAAAGTTTCCACATTCATGTCATAAAATTTTAACCTTTAAGTCATTAGAGTATCAACTGTTAAAAAAGCATTCCCTTATGCTTAAATAATAAAAATATTCATGTATAATTTTTAGTTACAATCTTTCCATAGTGCTCCAGTCAGTTTTTGTACCATAATTATTCTGATGTATTACTGTTTATGCATTCTCATAAGGAGAGCAAGATTGCCAGAAGAAAATACAGAATATCCACTTACATTTGTAATTCAGATACACAGTGAATAAATGTTAAGTGTAAGTATGTACCGCAAAATGTTTATATGTGTTATGCAAAAAAAAATGTCTACTAGAAATTCAAGTTTCAAGTATTTTCTTAATAGGGGAATATGTGTAAATGTTAATGTATATATTATCTATGGCTTCAAACATACCATCCGTGTGCTATATTATCCTTGTGCTTTATTATCAAAATTGAAGCTAAAATGGGAGTCATTTTGAATAGCCCATAAAACAATGGAACAGCTGGATAAAATGCAGAAAGATCTATTTAAAGACTAGGAATTAAAGATTCAAATCCCAAAAAGAAGAAAAACTCACTGAGATGAGACGTGTTTTGTTTGTTTTTCCTTGAAGTATTAGTCACACATAAAATGAGGAAGAAGTAGTGATACTATGGAGAAAGTGATTGCTAAAAGGCAAAGGAGCCAAGCAAAGTTGTTACTAGTCTTTAGAAGAGATGAAAATTGAGGTTCAGGGCTACCACAGCAGATAGGACTTGAGGGACCAAAATCCCAGAGGGAAGAAAGTAAGAGAAACTCTGTAACTCTAGGTGTCTCATTCTTGAGATGCTCATTAATGTATGAGCAATGCAGGCCTATAATAGAAGAGGGAAATCCATACACAAGTCTAAGAATCTAACAAGTAAGTTAACTGTCATTGAGCAGACATTCAGGTTTTGGGACTCTGGTAAATAACCATGGCTTTTAATAAGGGCCACTCAACAGTGAAGCCAAAGGAAATGCAAAAATAGACAAATTCTTTAAAAAAAATAATTTAATAAGATCATCTCATTTTCTGAGATAAATTTTCTGAGACAATTTTATCTATTCTAATTCCATATCAAAGATAAAGAGAATTCTCTTTGAAGGAAAACAGAATCATCCAGAGTCTCTAAATGTTTTCATTCAATCAAACTTTATCAGTTATTATGAGTTGAATTGTGTCCCATCCAAAATAATAATAATAGCAATAATAATAATCATGTTAGACTCCTAACTCCCCATACCTTGGAATATGACCTTATTTGAAGATAAAATGTCACAGAAAATCTAATTCAAATGAGGCTACTATGGTGGGCCCTAATCTGGTATGACTGATGTCCTTTAAAAAGGGAAAATGTGGACACAGACACATACATAGAGGGAAGCCTACATAAATGCAGAGAGAGAAGATGGCCATTTATAAGCCATGGAGACAGGCCTGGAGCAGATCCCCCACACACAGCAGTCAGTAAGAACTAATGCTGGCAACAGCTTGATCTCAGACTTCAAGCCTCTATAACCATGAGAGAGTAAGTTTTCCTGGTTTAAGCCACTAAGTTTGTGTTTTGTTGTTCTTGTTATTGTTGCTTTGAGATGGACTCTCACTCTGTAGGTGAGGCTGGCGTGCAGTGGTGCAGTCAGAGCTCACTGCAGCCTCAAACTCCTGGGCTCCAGCAATCCTCCCATCTCAGATTCCCAAGTAGCTCAGACTACACACATGCACCACCAGGCCTGCCTAATTAAACATTTGTTGTTGTTGTTTTGCTTTGTTTTGTTTCTGTTTTGTAGAGATGGAGTCTTGCTATGTTGCCCAGGCTGGTCTCAAACTCCTAGCCTCAAATGATCCTCCCACTTTAACTTCCCAAAGCACTACTGGGATTACAGGCATGAGCCACAGCTTCAGGTCAATGGTATATTTTAACAGTAGTCCTAAAAAATGAATACATCAGAAATATCATTTTAAAAAACTGAGATAAAAAACAAATAAAAAGAAAAACCCACAAATGATACAGATATTGGAGTTAGCTGACAGAGATTTTAACGTAGTTTAATTAATAAATGAACAAAAAGGAGGAAAAAGAGGTGAATTACATCAGAAAACTGAAATCTATATTAAAAACAAAATTAAAATTTTAGAGCTGGAAAGTTGTAAAAAGCAAAATTAAGGCAGTAATAAAGTACTTTAAACACAGTAATATATAGTAACATTAATACAATTTGATAAAATACCAATTTCAAAAATACTAACAATATCACTTAAGATAGATATTAAAAATAAAATGTTAGTATATGATACACCAAATTTCTACATAAAAATGTAATAATTTAGATGGAATAGAAAAATCCTTTAAAATACAACATACCAAAAAAAGAGGAAATAGAAAGCCTCAAAATTTCTAATTCAAAAAAGAAACTGAATCGTTAATTAAAATTGTTTTGAGAAATTCAGACCCAAATGCATTTATTAGAGCATTCTTTGAAATATATATGTAAAAATTACATGGATCATACTATTCTGGGAACTAGAAAAGCTGGAAACAATTTTCAAGTTACTTATTGAGGCCATTATTCCTTGACAATTAAACCTGGCAAATATATTACAATAAGTAAAATCACAAGATAATTTCTCATAATAGTCATCACAAAATTTTAATAATTATTACTCAATTAAATCGAGTGATATATAAAAGGGGTATTAAAATTTGACCAAGTCAACATTATCCATGAATTCAATATTTTTAAAAATTTAAAAATTATATAATGTAACATAGTATACTGAAAGTATAAAGAAGAGAAAAAAATAAAATGTTAAAATTATTGCTTATAAAAATAACTGCGAATCTAGTCCCAATTACTAGAAGGCTGAAGCAAAAAGATTACTTGAGCCCAGATGTTTGAGGTCGTGGTGAGCTATGATCATGCTACTGTACTCCAGCCTAGGTGACAGAGAAAGACCCTTTCTCTAAATAGATTCTTTATAAAAATAAACAAATAAAAGTAAAAACTTGAAAAAAAGTTACAAGAAAGAGTAATATAAAAGAATTTTCTTAATTTGATTTTTAAAAGTATGTATGCCAAGTCCACAGAAACTATATATTTATGTTAATAATAAAAACTTATTTATTTTATTTTCTTTTTTTTGAAACAGAGTTTCACTCCATCACCTAGGCTGGAATGCAGTGGCATGATCTCGACTCACTGCAAGCTCTGCCTTCAGGGTTCAAGCGATTCTCATGCATCAGCCTCGCAAGTAGCTGGGATTACATGCATGTGCCACCGGGCCCAGCTAATTGTTTTTATTATTATTTTTAGTAGAGATGGGCTTTTGCCACATTAGGAAGGCTGGTGTGGAACTCCTAA